CAATTAATTCATCCAATAACAAACCAAACGGCTATTTTGTTAATTATTTGATATAATATTGAACATCTAAATTTAGTGACCGATTTGGTAGTCCCCAAAAATTTGATGATTGTTAATAATAATAACTCACCGCTATTTCGCCCACCAGTCATACTCGCCGATACATATACTGTATGCATACGGATGTTTCATTAACGAACCCGCCAAGTCAGACTTCAAACCCCCGCGGCAGCACCGCCGAATTCGATACTCTAACCTCCGATTCCTGGCTTATATCGAAATCTCCCGCAGAAAATTATGCAGAAGGACTCGCTACTCTCTGTAGCAGAACATGCACATCCCGCCACCTGGTTTGACGCCGGAACTGGAATCTACAGCAGCCCACACGCCGCCGTCGCTCTCCCCGCCGACCCTCTCCTTGACCTGGTCTCCTTCATCTTCTCCCATTGCCGTCACAACGATGCACCCAACACTTCCTCCTCCTCGGCGGTCGCCCTTCTCGATTCCGCCTCCGGCCACTCAATCTCTTACCAGGACCTGTTCCCCCTCGTCAAATCCACGGCCTCTGCTCTCCACAAATTGGGCATCCGCCACGGCGATGTCGTCTTGCTCCTCCTTCCCAATTCAATTTACTTCCCCGTCGCCTTCCTCGCCGTGCTCTACTCCGGCGCCGTCGTCACCCCCATGAACCCTCTCGCCACCGTCGTGGAGATCGAGAAGCGCATCGCCGATTGCGGCGTCCGTTTCGGATTCGCTTCACCGGAGAGAGCTGCGGCTCTGCGGGATTCCCCGCTAGGGATTCCGTTCGTCGCCGTTCCCGAATTGAGTTCTGATTCCTTCTTGTCGGATGCCTTCCGCGGCATGATTGCTCGCGACGTTGATTCGGATTTCACGCCTCCGGCGGGAATTCGGCAGCAGGACGCGGCGGCGATTATGTACTCTTCCGGAACCACTGGCGCCAGCAAGGGCGCCGTGCTGACGCACGGCAACTTGATAGCCGCGGTGGAGCTCTTCGTGAGGTTCGAAGCGTCGACCTACGATTTCCCACCTTGGGAGAACGTCTACCTCGATGTGCTTCCCATGTTCCACATCTATGGCCTCGTTCTGTTCGCCGCCGGGCTGCTGTCGTTGGGTTCCACCATTGTAGTGATGAAGAAATTCGATGTGGATGAAGCAATCAGGGCCATCGAGAGGCATGGGGTCACCCATTTCCCCATCGTCCCGCCGATTCTGGGTCCCTTGGTGGAACGCGCTAAAGGTGTTTGTGAAAATGGCTTAAAGAGCTTAAAGCAGGTTTCCTGTGGCGCAGCTCCTTTAAATGGCAGCACGATCCAGCACTTTCTCGATACCTTTCCTCATGTTGACTTCATTCAGGTAAACCACTGGCGCAAAATCAAAGCGATAAACAGAATACTAGAATCCAACAATTTCTTCTGTCACTTGCTCTCCAAGAACTGTGCTAGTTTTTTTCTCAAAGTTGACGCCTTTCTGGCTAGCAGGGATATGGGATGACTGAATCGACCGCAGTGGGAACTCGAGGATTCAACACGCAGAGATTTCAGAAGCACTCTTCAGTAGGACTGCTAGCTCCAAACACTGAGGCCAAAGTTGTTGACTGCATCAATGGCCATGCTTTGCCTCCAGGCGGAATTGGGGAGCTCTGGATGCGAGGACCTGGCACCATGAAAGGTAACCAATCAATCATCAAAACCACTTCTTCAGTGCTAGTTTTCATCAGCTATAAAACTCTGGAATTCTCCAACAGAACCAATCAATCATCAAAACTACTTCTTCAGTGCTAGTTTTCATCAGCTATAAAACTCTGAAATTCTCCAACAGGGTATCTGAACAATCCGGAGACGACAACTGAGACAGTTGACAAAGATGGTTGGCTTCGTACCGGTGACATAGTTTGCTTCGACAAGGATGGCTATCTGTACATCTTCGATCGGTTGAAAGAGATGATCAAGTACAACGGATTCCAGGTGACTTAGATCAATGTACCCTTTTGCTTTTCTGCTGATGTGACTTAGATCAAAGCATTGAGAATTTCACATTTCAGATAGCACCAGCTGACTTGGAAGCTGTACTGATAACCCACCCGGACATACTCGATGCCGCTGTAACAGGGTAGGTGGCCAATTCAACAGTCTGTGTATGCAATTAAATCCTTTTCTGCTGCAGATTTTTCTTATTTGCACCATCTTTGGGCTAGCAGGGCGACACACAAAGATGCCGGAGAAATACCGGTGGCCTTCGTGGTGAGGAGGCAGGGAAGCAATCTCAGTGAAGAGGGTGTCATCAAACATGTAGCCGTCCAGGTTTGTTCCCCCTTCGCCATTGCTGCTGGAAAAGAATTACAGTGGTCAGTGAAGAGGAGAGGGAAAAATTGGTTAAGTACTTAAGTTGGTTTGTTTCTCTGCTTCTTGTTGCAGGTGGCTCCATACAAGAAAGTGAGAAGAGTGGTGTTCACAGAAGGAATACCAAGGTCTCCTGCTGGGAAGATCCTTCGACGCCAACTGAGGAACATGATGATGTTCACTCCCACTCCCAGACTCTAGTAAATAATATATGTAATCCATTGAAACACTTCATCCATGGCCTCGTCGCCGTTTGTCTTACATTTGTTTACTAGCAATAACATTCTAAATTTGCTACATGTAATTACTGAAATCATTCCAAAGCTCTTTTACTCTATACGATCAGATTGGAACAGAACACTTCCAAAGGCGATAGCTGTTATATACAGTACTAGTAGTATGAAAATTGGAAATTTGTTAATTTTTGCCAAATGTACTCTGCTTAACTTATTGTTCAATTGATATGAATAGATCCAGTTCTGTCTTTCGCTTAATGTTCATGCTTGAGTGGAGGCAGAAGCATGAGGGAAGAGGCCAAAGACAGTGAAAGGACGAATAGAGAACATGGTCAGGAGAAAGAAGCGGGCAACTGGTCCAGGTAGCCGGTATGTTTTTGATGGAGAGAGCAACGCAACGCAAGTGTTTTGTTTTTTTTTTTTTTTTGAAAGTGGAGTGGTCGTTTCATTAATACGAAACACGGTGGTCGGTGGTTATATATATATATATTGCTGTCAGTTTGGTTTGGCTAACCAAACTATTAAAGCATGAAAGACCAAAATCCAAATTAGAAAATTCAAAAATTAAAATGACCTCATCGGTTATTGGTTGATCGAAAAACCGTTGAAAACTAAGAAGACCTTTCACGGTTTCGGTTTGTTTGGATAAACCAAATAATCTTAAGACAAGTTCATAGTTTATGAAGTTAGAAAATAGAGTGAGAAAAGACTCCAAGACGCATGGAGATAGGAAAGAAGTCTATCATACATAAATTGGTGAGAATATGTGTTATTGATGAGCATTAACTTAGTTAGGGTGTTATCAGTTTCCTATTGATTTTTTGGGTCTCAACCGAAATCTAAGTCATTTTAAGATGTTAAACGGTTTTTTTTATCGGCTAAAAAAACAAACTCGACAGCCCTAATTATATATGGTTCAAAAATCAAGTGTCCATTTTGGTTCTAATGAAGGTTAAAAGACAGTTTACCTAGTAGATAGTGAGTATATAACTTAAATTGCATTATTATGAAGTGATTGATATAAGATTGTTTTTTTTTTCACAGCTAATTCAGACTATTGTGATCGGATCATATTAAAATGTAAAAAGGTTTCACTAAAGTTTTGTAAAGAAGCGCCATTACGAGGAAAATGTCAAATTTATAGTGGTTCATAAACAATTCAGTAATTTTATAAAATATGTAAAAGTCAAAGTTTTTTTATAGACTTCAACAAAATGTTCAATATATTTTGATCGTGACTAATACAAGGGACACGCCGTGAGTAATGTATAAGGTACACATGCATAACTATTCCACCATAAAAATATAATTGACAATATTACACAATAACATTCAATTTAATATATTTTGAAGCAAATAATTTAAAATGTTAATTTATGCATTTATATTGCGGTATACCATGGTGATAGAATTTAGTGATGCATAAAATTATATCATGGGATAGGTATATAATGGTGGTATATATGATGGTAGTATAATTGGTCCCATAAAATTCAGAAATAAATTAAAAATTGACATATCACAATGAATTCGTTCTTTTTATGCATAAATTTATAAAATTTGGGTTAAAATGAAGGATCCTTAAAAATATATAAAATTTGATACCATTTTGTAATCACAAACTTGTTTTTTTTTTTTTTTGTGCAAAAAATCTTCAAACTTTAGTTAAAATGAACTAGTTTTGAGCATGACCAATTGGACAAAAGACTATTTTTTATTAAATTAATTTGGTATGTGCGACAATATTTTAACACAAATGAAAGTACTGTGTATTATCGTGATGCAATATTAAACGACATTAGCATAGTTTAGTAATTTTGTAGAATAGGAATGTACAGTGAATTATGGTGGAACATGAGCCATATGGTGGTATAGAACTCAATTATATTGATACTTAACATGTATTTTATTTTAATTTATATATCATTGTGTAGATCACATAAAATCCCATAAAATTCGGAGACAAATTAAAAATTAACATATCACAATGAACTCGTTTTTTTTTTTTTTTTTTTTTGCAAAAAATCTCCAAATTTTTAGTTAAAATGAAGTAGTTTTAAGCATGGCTAGTTGGATGAAAGACTGTTTTTATTAAATTAATTTGGTATGTGCCTAACGATAATATTTTAAGTTTTTAACACACATGAAATTATTGATTGTGGTGATGCAAAATTAAACGATATTAGCATAGTTTAGCAACTTTGTATGATAGAAATGTACTAATGAATTATGGTGGTACTTAACAAGTATTTAATTTTACTTTAACACATTGCAAAAAATATATATATATATGGTGGCGTATTCGGTGCACCCATTTTTTTGGGTGCACTCAGTGCACCCGCCTCGTAGAAATAGACGAGAGCGCCGAATCAAACCATTTGCTGCTGCGCGCCAACAGAATTAACAGATAGTGACTGAAAGAGTGAAAGAGCCGCATCTTCTTCTCCTCCTCCTCCCACCACAACAGCCAAAGCCGTTATCTACGAGGCCATACAAATAGGAAAAGCCACACCACACACAAGCTCCAAGTCACCAACCACTGCTTCTTCTACAGATCGATAATAATGGTTAATCCTGCTGCCGCTGACGTTGCTCACCTTTCACTTTCGCCCCCTTCAATTCTCTTTCTCCTTCTCGATCAACCCCCAATGCTCCTTGAAATGGCCAAATCCCTTCACAATTAATCAAATTTTCACAAACACTTGGTCCGCATTCCGCTCTCCCGCCCCGATTCCACGTTCTTGCAAATGGGTCCTCCGGAAGATCGCTCCAATCTCCATACTTCATTGATCAATTCTTTGGGCTCTGCTTCAGATGGCAGTCCAGCATCCCCCACTCTCTCCAAAACCGTATGTATTCTCAATCTTGCTCAACCATGCCAACTGGGTTTGTTCTGTGTCTTGATTGCTTTGGCGGGAGTGAGCGATTTTTGCAGGTGATTGGGGTTCTGCATTTGCTCGTTTCGCTAGGGATAGTTCTGGCCGTGGATAAGTATCTGAACATGGCGTTCGTGGCTGCTGCTATCAAGTTCCCCAGTGCGTTGTTTGGGATGTTCTGCATATTCTCGGTTCTCATCATTCTCGACACCGCTGTCCCAGCTGCTGCTGCCGCCGTCATGACCTTCTTCGAGCCTGCACTTCTCTTCATCCAGAGATGGCTTCCGTTGTTCTATGTGCCCTCACTTGTTGTTCTCCCTCTCTCTGTGAAAGACATCCCTGCTGCTTCCGGTGTCAAGATTTGCCTCATTGTAGGTAACTTGGAGCCGTTTACTTCGCTTGAGTATGTTAATTGTTACCACGCGCTCAAGATCATATGTATTCGGTGGTAACACTTGTATATTTTCCACAGCGGTCGGGTGGCTGGCGTCTCTTTGCGTTGCGGGATTCACTGCCATTGCTGTGAGGAAAATGGTTAAAACAGAAATGACAGATGCTGAGCCGATGTCCAAGCCCTCTCCTTTCTCTGCAGTTGAGCTGTGTGTTTGGATTGGAGTCTTTGTAGCATCTTTTGGTGCTGCTTTTTTGTATCCAACTTTGCTGGGGACGAGTGCTAGAACTTGCCTCCCCTTCTTGCTAGCATCGACAGTTCTAGGCTACATGATTGGTTCCGGGTAAATTCTCCAATGTCTTACTCAGATAATTGATTAATGGGAGAAAGAAAGTCTCCTGCTTTTAGGATCATCAGGATCTGGAATGTGATTATTCGCCTTGCAATTGGCCTCCCATGGTTTTACAGGTTGCCTGCTGGTCTGAAGAAAGTTTTCCATCCGATCATCTGTTGTGCACTATCTGCAGATTTGGCGGCATTTGCTTACGGTTATGTCTCCAAATGTGGATTCGATCCTGTTTTAGGTATGAGTATTGCTGGGAAGGATACAGAAACGAGAGAATGTCAACTATTCGTAGTTCATCTGCAGATTTCTTATTTTTCTTTTGTTGCACACAGGTTATTACCTTACGAATGCAGCAAGTAATCCTGGAGCTGGAGATGTACTGATGGGATTTTTGGGATCTGTTATTCTTTCCTTTGCCTTCTCAATGTTCAAACAGAGGAAGGTAACTAGATGTAGGACTTTTCCTTATTCACCTTATTAGTTCACAGCATTCGTTCTACGGCTAAACGAGAGCCTAAACCTTTTCGTACTATCTTTACAGCTGGTCAAGAGGCATGCAGCAGAAATATTTACCTCGGTCACCATTGCAACGCTGTTCTCGTTGTATTCAACAGCTTTTGCTGGGCGTCTCCTCCAACTAGAACCGACTTTGACCATCTCTATTATTCCTAGATGTATTACTGTTGCATTGGCCCTCAGCATAGTTTCACTGTTTGAAGGTAAAAATAGACACTTTGCTTCACTGCAGAGTTTCAGTTTTAACTTATCCCGAGCTGAACATCCTCCCACAATATATGAGGACAAACCAGCTCTTTAAGTTTCTCTCTTCATTTTGCTGCAGGAGCCAATTCATCTCTAACAGCAGCGGTGGTTGTAGTAACTGGTCTTATTGGAGCAAATTTCGTGCAAGCAGTGCTTGATAAACTGCAGTTACGTGATCCCATTGCTCGAGGAATTGCCACTGCATCCAGGTGAGTAGGAAAAAACAATCCGAGAGAACATTCTAAGCAAATAGTGCTTTGATATGATGCCAGTTTGCTGATAAGCATAGCTTCTGTTGCAGTGCTCATGGACTGGGAACCGCAGCATTGTCAGCCAAGGAACCCGAAGCACTGCCCTTCTGTGCCATTGCATATGCTCTCACTGGGATATTTGGTTCCATAATTTGCTCTGTTCCCGTGGTCAGGCAAAGCTTGCTTGCAATAGCTGGCTGATGATAGAGTACTCCGAATTTCGACATAGCATATATAGACAAAGACAGGCAGAAGGCGGAGGCATGCTGCAGTTGGTTGTCATATTCTTTAGTAGCTGGACATACAGAAAGAAATGTCTTTATTTTTCCTGTATGATGTATCCAATTCATCTATTGCCCTTTTTGATTCATCCTATTAAATTGAATCTAATTGTATAGAAGAACAGATTCAACGAAAACAAAATAGTTACCCTTTTTTTTGGATAACCTGCTCTGGAATCTAATTCTTCGAGAATTTGGTCAGGAAGCACAAGACAGTACCATGGATATACGCAAATTTAAAGATCCACGAATTATAAATGCAGATGGTATGATAGCAATCATGTCACTAATATCTGTAAGAGCGTCAGGCGCTTGGCCCATTCCCATAAACTCCATGTTCAACTAATCTCAAAAGAACCGAAATGTGTTCATGGTTCACATCCTTAAGACCTTAGCACTAACATGGAAAATTTCCTATCTTGCCTACCAGTTTTCAGTAACATGTTGCATCCTTGTTTCGGAACTAGATGCTAGGAAATTACAGGTAGCTCACATCAGCCCATGAAGTTCATGATCACCAAATGAAGCACCAAGTTGCAGAGAATAAAATCAGCAAAAGCACGCTCAGGTGCCACATCCTGTAATTGGTTCGAAGGAAGCATGCATTAATTACCCAAAACGACCCATTGTTTTGGTTTGATAAAATCTGAGCTCTAGAAAATAAGTGGAGTACAGAAGAGAACTGTTCTTTCCAATCTTACCTTGAACTCCTTGTTGTCCTTGTTCACTTGGATGCGCAGACACACTGTGGAAAGAACACCAGTTTAGCCCTGAGTTCAATCTCTCTATTGCAAAAGGAATGTCAAAATTCACTTACCAGCAAGGACTGCAGTCCCTATGCAAGAAAGCACCCCTGAGAGGAAAGAATTAAAAGGAAATGACCCCACAACGGCCATGTACACTACCTGTTTGTCAAAACACAAGTTATAAGACAGTCGATCCGTCAAGCAAATCTCTCAGTCCAACCTAGAAACAGCTGATAATTATCCGATCTCTTGAACATATAAAGTATAAGAACAATTCAACGAAGAAAAAAAAGTATAAGAACTTATGCAACAACTGCATCTACTCTGACGTCTAGCCTATTAGCACGCTACACCGCAGTTAGAAGTTTAAGCAAATCATAACATGCATGAAAAGTTACCTAGTTTGAATCCATTTTAACCAAATAAATCTTCTGCCAACAAAAGCCTTAAATTTGTAGAAGATGAGAATAATTGGCTTCATCCATTACAGATTCCAAAACTAACTATCCAATCTCACCCTAAACAAATATGGGCAAACACTTCGCATCAAAATCTTCTAAGAATTCCCACCTACAACACAGTTAAAACTTCACTAAGCAAACTAAGTAAAGAAGGAAAGGAAGAAGCCTAACGTCCAGGTCTGAAATCAGAACCTCTGTTCTTTCGTTTGTATAGAACCAACTATTTTAATGTCCTGCAAACGAGAGACGCATGTTCCAGGATGTAGGCAGTCTAATTAATCATGGATACCCATACCAGTAAGGAACTTCTGATCCAGGAAAAAGAGGGATTCTAATAGATTGTCAAAGTAGAAAAGATTCCATACATTATACTCTCCACTTACAATAGATGGCACACAACTAACGTCGTCATAATAAGTTGGATAACAGACGCTAAAACAATGTACAAGGGGGGGAAGAACTAATGTGTCGTTTGGATGATGGAATTGGATGAGGCAACTTGGTCAGATTGGTTAAATATGAAGCAATTGGGTCGAATAGTCTCATTTGTAAACACAAAATGAGGATGAAGCAATTGTGTCGAGGCAATTTGAATAGACTCATTTTGCATCAATTTGAATTGAGCAGAGGAGGGCATCTGTTATGAAATTCTGCATAGATGAGGCGATTGGGTCAAACTGCCTCATTTCATAAATTCATCCACCCTAACTGGCCCATCCAATCGGCATTCAATCGGGTAAAACAAAGTTCGTCATTCCGAAACTGATTTCTACAGAAAGCAAGGAACTTGGATTTCGCCGCTTTGAAACAAACAATGGGGGGTTGGAGAATCAGAGAAGGGTACCTGGATTATGGCGGTGAGTACGGCAAATCCCACGAATACATCGATGATCTGCAGCGGGAAGATCAACAACAAAGGTCTAAGAAAACGGCGGGAATACATAAAACGATGAACAGATTCATCCACCAACAAATGAAGACGACAAATTAGAGTTGAAAGATAGGAAAAGAGAAAGAGAACGAGAACGAGAACCTTGAGGTTATTAGGAGTTGCGGCGTAAGCAGAGCGAAGGGACTGGAAGAGAGCCTGCGTCTCCTTCACCGTGGAGGATCGCCCCATTCTTCCAACTCAACCCGCGAAATGAGACGAAGAAAGAAGAAGACTTTTGGGGAGAGTCAAGCAATCAGATCCAACAAATGCAGAGAATTCCAACTTCAAAGAAGTATAAGCAGCTGAAACACTCGAGAGCCGAGGGTTTGAGGTCAGTACTCTGGAGTGGGGACAAGGGCATACTAGTCATTGCAGCGCTCGCTCACTCGCTCTAAATTAAGTAATTAGTAATTCGTAGTTACTCTACCGCCAGATAGCTCGAGTGGAAGAAACTCTCCGGAAATGGCGTCGACGGCGAACTGCAATTGCGCGGTAGCTGCAATTCCCGCCATTCCTTCTTCTTCGCCATTACACTTAACACTTAAGGATAATGAAGTACGTCAAGATTCTAAATCATTGTTTGTTTTTAGGTAGGGGTGCAAATCGGAATGGTATGGGTATCTCAATACCAAATCTCGAATACCGAATTACATTCTAAAATCAATCTCACTCCCTAAATAATTTCGGTATCCCAATCCCTACCTCGACATCGGATGTGCTACTGGCGCAACCAGTCAGTGTTGACGATGTGGCACTTGCGGTGATCAATGCTGTGGGAGATGATGATGTTTCTTGTGTACTCACGATCGAACAGATCAAGGAAGCTGCTGCTAAAGTCAAGATATGAGAAGCGAAGAAGGGAACTAAGGAACTGAACTGACCCATAAAAGTTGCTCCCTGCTGGGGAAGAAAAATGTAAGGTGGATGGATGAACTGTTGAACTACTGTACAAAGAATTCAACTTAATTCAAGCGAAGTACTAGTATTCTCAAAATTTCGTACATAGTTCACCAGAAAATAGTTTAGTACATTCAGAAATTTATTCAAATCTTGTTTACATACTTCTCTCTAACTTCTGTTTCCTGCACTAAATTAAATTTTTTGTTCCATCGCCAACCAATCACACATCGCCTGTATTCCTTCTGCTCCAACAGGAATACCTCTACTTCTTAGCCATGGATTGCTCTGTAAGATACCTATTTCAATGCAAAGTTATGAAAAGTGAGTGTTTGATAAATTCTTGTATAATGCTTGCTGTCAGGGAAACAAAAGAGTGGAAGGGAAGATTGAGCTCATACTTGGCGGTGAAAAAACCAGCAGAATACCAAGCATTCAAGACATCACAGAGATCTGTTCCAGAAGTAGGACCTTGTGCAGTTCCCTCTTCTTCTTCATCTGCGTGAAGGGCAGAGCTGAATAATTGTGTGGAGAGAGCACCCCAAAAAAAATGGTACATAACTGAAACGAGCACCGAAATTAAAACAGCAGAAAATGTTATTATGGAGTATCAATCAATATTTTCGAAATCAAGAACTAGTTTGAGGTTTGCCAAACTCGTTTGACAACATTGAACTACAGATTAAACAACAGCTCGAACCCTTTACCACTATCACGTGTCATGTGTTAGTATAATTGTCAAACTCGACAGACATCGGAATCTAGGATTCCATCCTCCATCAAGATTGCATCTTTCCAAGCATCATGACAAGAAACAAGAAGATTATGTACTAGTATCCCCAGGACAAAAGGAAAAAGTGACAGATTCTTTAGGTCTCTATTTTCTAGGAAAAGGCCATACCTTTGACACAATTATCGTCCGAGCTTTTCCCTTTTATAGATGACATTGCTCTTTCAGCAGCTTCCATGGCTGTTTTAACCATGTCACTCTCCCCAAGAGGACAAGCTTTTCCACAACAAGTCAACACAGTGGAGTCGGTGCCTAACTTACTACCACAGCATGAAACTACTGGACAATGACTGGCATAAGGGCAACAAGTGGTATATATGCAGGTAGCTGAGCCATGAGTTTGGTTTGTTGCTGGGGCTGAATGGTCTTGAGAAGTGGAGCAGTTAGCTAACTGGGCAGCAGAACTAGAACCTTCAGCAGGATCTTGGTAATAATAGCCTCCTAGTTGTTGAAGCTGTTCTAGAACCTTTTGCCTCTTCTCTTCCAGATCATAATACTGGCTTAGTAGCTCGTTATAATCCTCCGTGGCTTGTACATTAGAATGATCACCAACTGTAGGTGCGTTTACATCGTTTGCAGTGTCTATGTTTTGTTCATCTCCAAGTTGATACGCGAAATAATTTTCATCCGATGGTGCTATGCATAATCTGTCATTGATCTCTGCTGTAAGTTGTGATGCTACTTTCCCAGTTTCCTCCACCTCCCTGATTTTGCATCACGTTAAGGGAGAGAGAAGTGAGGGGAAATGGAGCTTTTGGGAGCAAAGGAATTAAAACTAGCAACATTCAAATTTAAAGCCATAACTCCATTGCAGATTAACTTCTGTCTACTGAAAGCTCTCATAACAAACTAAAGCATGAAACTTGCGTAGCTTAACTTACCTGACTAATCCAAGGCCTTCATCCGCTACAGGAGCAGGATCCACACTGTCAGCTAAACCTTTTCCACTATCAGCTGAATTTTCCTGGCCTTTCTTGCCATGATACTTCTGGAAAACAAAAACAGGAAGTGATTCATTGGATATGGGCATTTAAACTTCTTCAAACTTCTTCAAAATTTCCACACTAGTAGACGAAAAGCTGAGAAATTTAAGTTACGGCTCCGAACTAGCATCCATTTTCCCCGGCCATAAACCCATGAATTGCTCAACTCTCAGCACTCAATATATATACCGAATTAAACCCAAAGAAGTTAAGTTCGTTGAAAGGATGAACATGAAAGAGATTAAGGAGAAAGAGAGGGAAAGAGTGAATCTTGACCTTGTACTTGGAAATGGCGTCGTCGAAAGCGTTGAGAAGAGCAGAATCGTCCCACAGTTCATCTCCTTTCCCCATTTTCCCCGTACGCTGTCTTCGCCAGTCTGCGGTGGCGGCAACAACGGCCGAGGCTGAAGACTGAAGTAGGAAGAGCTGTTTGTTAAGTTTCACCATCGCGCTAAATTATGGACATCCAGCCAGCCCAACTTCCTTTATCTCTATGGGCTTAAGCCCAGCCCATCCAACTTTTATTCTTCCGTACTTCCTTTTATCAGCATGGATATCCAAATAATTGAAAGAAGAAATTCCACCGCAGGAGCTGGTACTGTACACGTAGATTGTTTTTATTGCTCAACGTGATCGAGATCTACTGTTATAACCCGGAAGTTGGCTCTGTGTGGGCTGGAGTTGGGTGAGGGCTCATTGGAATCAGACGAGTGTTTGGAGGGTTCGTTGGGATGGAACTTGGTCGTTGGCTGTTTTGGTTTGTTGGATCGGTTGTGGTCCACGAACGCGTTGGTCACCAGAGCCCTCTCAGTCACTGGAGCCTGCACAGTTGCTTGATTGAGAGGACCTTTGCATGCAATCGACGATTTTGTGGGTGGGAGACTCAGAGATGGTGGGCCATGAGGGACTGAAAGGGTTTATTGAAAGGAGATGTGCTGCTCAGTGGCTCTGCAAGTGGCTTAGGGAAAGGTCAGGGTCTTTGATTGAGAGGTGGGAGTCGTGCCAGTTTCAGAGGCTGAGGGGAGAAGAGAGGTATGTCTGGATGATGTAGACTGGGCGTACTTTCTGAATCTGGAAAGATAATTGAGGGGACTGATAAGAGAAGCAGAGAGGGAAAAAAGAAAATATGAGGGGATAGAAGAAGCTTGGTCAGGGAAGCAGAAGGGTGAGATTGATGGTTTGCTTGGTGGGATTAAGCCCCACGTAGCTCTTTGGTGGGAGTAGTACAGTATTCTTTCTCAGTCAAAGGAAGCCATCTTGAAATACCTATTCCTCTTTATTTGCATTTCATTTTCTGCATTCATTCTCTCTCTTCTTTCTATCACATGGGTTTCTTTATTCCTTTTTCCAGGTTTGTTCATCGTCTTTTTCCAAGTTTCTTTTTATCTCATGGGTTCTCTTTTCAATGTGTTGGTGATCCAAATATGTCTGTTCTGGTGAGTTTCATATCTCATTTTTTGTTATTTTGTTCTCAGGATATGTTAATATTGAACCCTTTCTTTTTCCCTTGACTTATAGATTTGCTGCCAGACCAGAGTGATTGAGGTCCACACGATTATCATTATCTCCCCACAAAGGTAGTGGCAGAGTCCTCATCAAAGGTTTAAATCTCTTTCTGATGACTCTAGTCCGTCTCTTTTCTTCCCCTTTCTTTGACATCTATTATCTTTGCCAGTTCGCTTTTCTCATAATCCTTTTGATAGGGTATGAAGGTAAAGTATAATACTTGGAGAAGGTCTACAAGAAGAGTCCAAGAGAAGCCAAGACATAGGGGCAAAACCCTAGAGACTTACATCATCAGAAGAAGAAGACAAGGTTAAGAGACAAGGACAAGGGACAAAGCCAGGCACCTGACATCAGCAAAGACAGAGTATGAGGGGACACCCTCTGCCAAAAAGTACAATGTACAGTGTCAGAAGGTCTGAGGCGCCCGACCACATCATTTATGACTTGGCAGGCGCCCGGACCACTACCTAACCCTCATATGTGTATAAATAGGAGTTCTCTCCTCATAAATGACAATCTATCTACTCTTTACTCTAACTTCTCTCTACTTTCTCTCTCTATACACGTCTTCTTGCTTCTCTTTTCCCACATCTACTGAGGTGGGGCGCCTGCCTCCTCGAGGTCATGCCTGACACCCCAAACCCCTTGGATCCGAGCGAGCCCCAGTCGATCGGGCTCAAACAATTGGCGCCCACCGTGAGGCCAATCATGACTTCAAAAGACGCCTCCATCTCAAAGAAAGGAGAAGAGAAGAGCACGACACCAACAAAGACCCCTCTCATGCAAATTGTTGGTCGAGAAGTGATCAATCCCCAACCACTCACCGTCCAAGGCTTGGAACCATCCGATGACGATGATCTACCAGAAGGCGAAGAGGACACGGAGCGCCTGAGGTGTCAACTAGCGAGGCTCCAAGAAAGGCAAGCGCTTCAAATGGCAAACATACAAGGGCAGTTAGATCAATTCATGACAGCACTGTCGACATTGACAAAAGTAAACGACCACGCGCCTCCCGACCTCCAAGGAGCCCCAGATGAAAGAAGGCGCCTGAAAGGAAAGATGCACGAGGTCGAAGCGCCACCCATGAACTCCCCACGGGAGGGTGTAGGCGCCTCACCAGAAGAAGAAGCGTTCAAAGCTGATGACGCCGCCTTCCTAAAAAGGAAATGGAAATTCACTACTGCGGAAAGTGATCATAGAGAAACAAATGGAGTCTTCCTGGACTTGCTTCCTCCATCGAGGAGAAGCCTAAGCGCGTTACTTTCTTCTCAGGGGTACGCGTAGGAGAAATCGATTCTTGCTCAAGATATTCATCTTGGCAAAGCCTTTACCCGCGACTAGCGGAAGAGCCCTAGTGCTTACACGTGGATTTTTATCCGAGTGTCGGGCGCTCGTTTTACGAGTCCCCATGAGAGGCGATATTTTGTCCATATCCCTCGCAAAAAATTCCTGCCTTGAAAGAAGGGGTCACCCAAACCCGCTTCCTCCGTCGAGGAGAAGCCTAAACGCGTTACCTCTTTTTCAAGGGTACGCACGGGATACTTAAGCTCGCTTCCTCCGTCAAGGAGAAGCCTAAACGCTTTACCTCTTTTTCAAGGGTACGCACGGGATACTCAAGCTCGCTTCCTCCGTCGAGGAGAAGCCTAAACGCGTCACCTCATTTTCAGGGGTACGCGTGGGGAGACTTCAGCCACGCCATCGCAAAACGCGGTAGTCGGGGTCGTCAGTAGCTCGAAATTTTCCCGTTTCAGGCTCGAGCTCCACACTGGACATGTCACCCTCAAAGCTTTAGCTTTCCCTTTAGAGGGAGCTATCCGAGTGTCGGGCGCTCGTTTTACGAGTCCCCATGAGAGGCGATATTTTGTCCATATCCCTCGCAAAAAATTCCTGCCTTGACAGAAGGGGTCACCCAAACCCGCTTCCTCCGTCAAGGAGAAGTCTAAACGCGTTACCTCTTTTTCAAGGGTACGCACGGGATACTTAAACTCGCTTCCTCCGTCGAGGAGAAGCCTAAGCGCGTCACCTCCTTTTCAGGGGTAAGCGTGGGGAGACTTCAGCCACGCCATCGCAAAACGCGGTAGTCGGGGTCGTCAGTAGCTCGAAATTTGCTTGTTTCAGGCTCGAGCTCCACACTGGACATGTCACCCTCAAAGCTCTAGCTTTCTCTTTAGAGGGAGCGGAGGCGCCACCCATAGAAGCTGACGGCTGCGAATTATTAGACGCCATGGCAAAGAGAGAGAGATGGGCAGAAAAGCGAGTCTTTGAGGAGAATCGGGTGCAACGCCGAAGCAGGTAACGTGTAACATCCCGTTTTGACAAAACTCGTATTACGGTTTCCAGAAATTTCACGAATTAAAATCGAGCATTTTGACAGTATTTCGACGAAAATCGGATTATCGATCGATCGGATAAGTATACGTATTATATATATAATATATATAATATATATATATATAAGCGGTCACAGACTAATATATAAATCCCTCCCCCGTGTCATTATTTGGCCAGAACCTATTTCCCTTCCCTTTCCATTTTCGAAACGAGGAACAGAGAACACAGAGCCAACTCGGTGGAAATTTGCAGAGTTTAGTTTTGGAGCTCTACTGATCCAAAAATCCCGTAAGTAATGCCTAATTCATCTATACATTGTGATTTATCGATTTAGAGCTTTAAAACAAGATTTTGGTTCAGGAATTTCTTGAATTCCCGATAAGCCAAATTAGGGTTTCAGAGTATCCGGAAGCCGGATTGAGCCCAAATTTCATATACGAGCTTCCTGCAGCGAGGTAATCAATCCTCTAGTTCTAATCCCTGAATTTTGGCAATTATTTGGGTCGGGGGTCCAAATCGCTGAATTTAGCTCTGGCCAAGGTTTGATGTGTTTTTATCGAGAATTTGACCCGGAGCCTAGAACTAATATTGACGGGGATACTGCAGGGGATATTAGGACAGTCTCGGATTTTAATTCGGGGTTCGTTCGTGAAATTGACGTTTTAGTACGGGAGGCTAGAACCGGTGTTTGAACGACCAGAACTGGTGAGGGATTAGCACGGCATACCGGGTTTGTCGTATCACGATAATTATGTTGATGCTTAGAATTGACCTAGGTGAACTAGAATGGCATGATTAGGGGTGTATGAACTTTTGTGCTATATGTTGAACCCTGGATTGCTGTATGATATTATTGACTTGCCCTAATCGATATGAACCTTGTTTATGCTGATGATTTCGTATATGTTGCAAATTGTGGGCTTGACTGTTAATATGCCTTATGATGGTTCGAAAAGGTGATTGGGTATGACATTTCATGATTGATGTATTTGGATGTACAAGTGGGGAAATATATATCTCATGGTGATATTATGATATTTAAGGAGGATGACTTGCACGAGGGTTTATCCCGATGAAGTGCAATTATACGACTCCTGGTTTACCTATGTTGAGCCAATTATGGTCAGGTCAAGTACATGTGCAAGTAATGAATTATGATTAAGCAAGATGAGATATGAATCATGTATAAGGATACCAAATATGAGTGTTGTGGTCTCATGGTCAACTACATAGTAATTAGGGCTCCCTATGCTATTACTCTATTATGATATGTATGATAGTCACACCTTTCATGTGGTGGTGACTGAAGATTTCTTACGAGATATGACCACACCCAGAGCGGTGTCGGGGTATGACTACACCCATAGTGGTGTGGGGTATGTATGACCACATCCGACGGGATGTTGGGGTATGTATGACTACATCCGACGGGATGTGGGGTATGTTTCCCGGGAGAGTTAATAGCATGGGAGTAGCCAGGCGCCTATAAGTAAAACATGATAAGACGCATATGCATAAGTCAAGGTGGTTGAGTCTTTTGCCTATTGGGATGTCGGATGCCTGAGGTCTGATCCTAGTGCTTTGGCTTGTTTGCTAGATGTATGGTAGGG